ACGCTAAGCCCCGAAATCATCGCAAGATAACCGAAAGGTAAGATAACCATATGCGGGCAAGTGCCCCTTGGTCAGCATGCGCGCGCATCATTACTGAGTCATTGTTTACAGGTAGGAGTGTGGTGATGGCAGGTCTTGCGGCCCCACGTTCACTGGGGTGTTCTTGTCATCGTTCATCTCTCATACATGTTACGCTCTTCTTATTCTTTGATATTTTATCAACTGTGAACGAGTTGGCAATTTTAAGGCGGCTAGCAGGCAAGGCTAGCCGCCTTAGCCTTCCCTGCTAGTCGGAAATGTCAGCACTGTGGAGAAATGCCCGACAGACCACTGGAACATTATCTAACACAGTGCACAGTTGCAAACCCATTAAGATTTCAACCTAGATTCAACAGAGTAGAAGAAGTTGTTAAACACATATGGCAAAATCTTACTGAAGCGACCATACGAGTCATAAATACTCATACTCCGCCTAAGTAAAACAGAAACAAGCAACACTTAAAGGTCCAGCCAGAGGCTTAGGGCCCGCGCAGGAATATCCCTGAAAAAAAAAATACCTGCTAGTGGTTTGGATAAATTGTATTTCAGTTGAGGTTTTACGACAAGCCGAACACAAACAACACTGTCTTGTTAGCTGAAAACAGACTGGTGACATTGGATTACTAGGCTAACAAAATGGCAAATGCATTGTACAATATTCTGAAACAGATTAAAAGGGACATATTCTTGTTCATTGTCTCTAGAGAGGCTCCAGCACGTGTATAGAAGGAAGTCTGTAGGGAAGTTTTATTAAACATTCAGAGGATTAGACAAGATGAATGATGATTAGACAAGACTTCATCTTGAGGCAGGATTAGCCTCAAGATGAAGAATTGTCGAGGCTCGTGGTGTGGACGTGAAGCCAGGCAAGTGAGCAAGGTTGTACACCAACGCATCCATCTAACAATGGCTTCCTTCTCCCAGCAGCACTTCCACCTTCAAGAAACAGTAAGCTAATAAATACGTGTTATATATGTACATAAGATGAATAAAACTAGGGTAAATGTTGTAATTTGGTAGCTTATTCTCTTGTCAACTTCTCGGTCATAAGCTTGCTTACTCCACCCTCAGGATTTACTTGTAAAAAAACTGTAAACACCCAATATTTGTAATAACGTAAATTTGTTTACATATTAACTGAATACATTAAAAACATTCGCATGTATAATACATTACTTATTAACAAAGTTGACTACTTATGACCAGCTGGCCATTATAGCTCTCATGCTCAGCTGGCCACTAGCTCTTATGCCCAGCTGGCCACTAGCTCTCATGCTCAGCTGGCCACTAGCTCTCATGCTCAGCTGGCCACTAGCTCTCATGCTCAGCTGGCCACTAGCTCTCATGCCCAGCTGGCCACTAGCTCTCATGCCCAGCTGGCCACTAGCTCTCATGCTCAGCTGGCCACTAGCTCTCATGTCCAGCTGGCCACTAGCTCTCATGTCCAGCTGGCCACTAGCTCTCATGCTCAGCTGGCCACTAGCTCTCATGTCCACCGCAGACAGCCCAACATTCTCAGCTTCAAATATACAGTTTACCTGAGGACAATAGCAAGGCGACACTAATTGCTTCCTTTTTTGCATGTCAAATTAAAGCGAGTTTTACATAACGGGACCAAAGAGCCGAAGCACAATTAGGTGAGTAAATGAGTGCATGATGGGTAATTATTTATCTTAATACAATTTTGCCGTCTTCTGAGACATAGAGTGAAAAACCATTAAGAAAAGCTAATTATAAATTTAACATAATTGATGACAGTCCACATGGGCTACACACAGGACAATGTCGTTGCCTTGCTCAATAGATGCATATGTAAAGAGATTTTACACGACATCTCTCTCAGTCTTTATGGAGCCTGAGAGAGGAAATGAGTCATGAGCTCTGAAAGTTCATTTGACTGTTGGTGTTAACCTCCGGAAACATCAATCTCGGTAACAAGTCATCAGTGTAAACACGGATACATAAATGACAAAGACATCAATGGATAAACATTACGGGCTATTCATGCCCGTGCCACCTCTTGGATGGCTTAATCTTCATCAATCATAGATAACAGTGTCAACAACATCAGCGTCTGGGAGACATCTCCCATCACGCAGGGTGCAGCTGCACCTCCACAGATCTCCAGTATCATCTATTGATACTGGTAATGGCTCAAAAGGGCCACCACTTACGGGCTATTCGTGCCCGTGCCACCTTTTGGGTGGCTTAATCTTCATCAATCAATCAACCATCAGCGTCAACTGATAGTCAACAGCAACAGCATCAATGGAAACAAACGTAGCTGCTACACTACCCAGGCACGGACAACAGGAGAACAATTACATCAACAACACAATATCATCAGCAGAAGTAACAGGACCAGTAACGCCAAATGACAGAAATACGACAACAGCCGTTTGCCGTCAACTTACAAGCATGTTTGACATAAATTACATTGTTCGTACTGAAAACAAAATCAACAGCTTCAACACCCGCTAAAAAAACAGCAATGGATTCAACACCCGCTAAAAACAACAGCAATGGATTCAACACCCGCTAAAAACAACAGCAATGGATTCAACACCCGCTAAAAACAACAGCAATGGATTCAACGCCCGCTAAAAACAACAGCAATGGATTCAACACCGGCTAAAAAAACAGCAATGGATTCAACACCCGCTAAAACAATAGCAACACCCGCGAAAACAATGGCAACAGTAGCAATACCCGCTAAAAGCGAAAACAACAGCGGTAACATCTGCTAAAAGCGAAAGCAACAGCGGCAACACCTGTTAAAAACAACAGCGTCAACGCCCGCTAAAAACAACAGCAACAGCTAAAAACAACAGCAACACCCGCTAAAAACAACAGCGGCAACACCCGCTAAAGCCAACAAAACAAAGAGTTTGGTCGAGACAGAATATATAAAACTGGTAATGAACAAAGAACGGGAATCGTGGGTTGGAATAACTAGGCTTGAGGAGGTGGGGTCCCGAGGGAGGATGTATATGGTCCGGAGGTGGGTGGTGGGCCCCGAGGTTCTGGGAGACCTTAGGGAGGTGGTGGGGAGGCCCCCTGTGGTATGAGGTGGGGGTCCCAAGGATGTTGGGGGTCCTGAGGGAGGATGTGTAGGGTCCGGAGGTGGGTGGTGGGCCCCGAGGTTGTGGGAGACCTTAGGGAGGAGGTGGGGAGGCCCCCTGTGGTATGAGGTGGGGGTCCCAAGGATGTTGGGGGTCCTGAGGGAGGATGTGTAGGGTCCGGAGGTGGGTGGTGGGCCCCGAGGTTGTGGGAGACCTTAGGGGGGAGGAGGTTGGGGGTCCTTAGGTGGTGGGGAGGCCCCCTGTGGTATGAGGCGGGGGTCCCCAAGGATGTTGGGGGTCCCAAGGATGTTGGGGGTCCTGAGGGAGGATGTGTAGGGTCCGGAGGTGGGTGGTGGGCCCCGAGGTTGTGGGAGACCTTAGGGGGGAGGAGGTTGGGGGTCCTTAGGTGGTGGGGAGGCCCCCTGTGGTATGAGGCGGGGGTCCCCAAGGATGTTGGGGTCCCGAGGGAGGAGGCGGGGTCCCGAGGTGATGGGAAACCCCAAGGGAGGAAGTAGGCTCACCCAAGGGGAAAAGTTTGAGGGCTCAAAGGAGATACCGGCCTTGGCGTCGTAGAAATAGCCTAACCTACTCTATCCCTTTGAGATGTATTTTTTTCGTCTCAATAAGCATACTTGAACATGATACCGGCTCAGACGGAGGACGTATAGGACTGTAGGAGGAGGAGGAGGTAATGGAAATGAAGAAACAAGAGGAAAGAAGATTTCCGAAGAAAGATGCAAAAATTGGACAATACCGCAGTCATGAATGTGAACTTTTAGAGGTCAGCCACGGACGCCACCCGTTTATCTGCGAGTTTGACCTTGACATTTAGTATGTCCTCCCTCACAGAGGTCGGCCGTCCTCTTCTGCGTTCTTTAAAGACACATTCCAATAAAGCAAGGTCGGTATGTTTCTCTACCACCATCATCGACCCCACAGACCAATTGGACACCGACCAGCGCCATACCAAACTCGAATTTTCCAATAATTTTAAAACAGCTTTTAGATATACCTCAAATATACAATTTAAATACTGGATAGCTCTTTTATACGAATGAAATATATTGAAACATTCTTATTGTTATTTCAACAAAGAGCTGTAGTTGGGTCCTGGAATGCAGTAAAGAGTGGTATAGTATACGGCACTCGCTCGCCCTCTCTAAGAATTTCTCAAATGAGCTATGGAGTCTCCATCAAGAGTTCTAGAGTCTACAGCACCCTATCACCCGCTCAAAGACTCCCAACTAGGCCATAGAGTTTTAGAGTATGGCAGCCGTTCGCCGGCTCCAAGACTCCTAAATGAGCTATGGAGTCTCCATCAGGAGCTTTAAGAGTCTACGACAGCTGTCTTCCCGCTCCAAGACTCGCCCAACTAGGCCATAGATTCTCTATCAGGAGTTTTAGAGTATGGCAGCCGCTCGCTCGCTCTGAGACTCCCAACTGGGCCCCCCTAAGTCTCCATCAGGAGTTTTAGAGTCTACGGCGGCCGCTTGCCCGCTCCGAGACTCCCAACTGGGCCCCTAAGAGTCTCCATCAGTTATAGAGTCTACGGAGTCCGCTCTCCCAACTGGGCCCCTAAGAGTTTCCATCAGGAGTTTTAGAGTCTACGGTGGCTGCTTGCCCGCTCCAAGACTCCCAACTGGACCCCTAAGAGTCTCCATCAGGAGTTTTAGAGTCTACGGCGTCCGCTTGCCCGCTCCAAGACTCATCCCGACTGGGCCCTGGAGTCTCTGTCGGCCTGGTTATCAAGACATCCCGGGAGGAGTGGGGGGAGGGAGGGAGGAGGAGGAGGGCAAGAGGAAACCAATCAGCGTGGGGCTTATAAACGCTAAGCCAATCAGCGCGCGGCTCTCACGGTGTGGGAGGGATGGGAGAAAGCTTCACTCAGGTGTTGTGGCGAGTCTGGCGCTAGAAACGAGTGAGGGAGGTGCGGCTCTGTGCTCGTCCGCTCTAACCATTCTTTATCAGTCCCCTGGTGAGAGAAAGTTGCAGGGGCAAAGTCAGGAAAGATAGAGAAAAGATATATATATATATTTGTGCCGTGGAATGTAGAGTGAAGTTTGTGTGGATTATATGAGAGCGGCGGTGGACAGGTGGAAGATCAAAACAACAGGTAGGTGTATAGGGTAGAGGAGCCTCGGGTGGGAATGTTGGTGAGGTCGCCTCATGGACTGCTTTTCTGCCTCCTGCAGCAGTCTTCTGCCTCCTGCAGTAGTCTTCTCCCTCCTGCAGCAGTCTTCACCCTGCTGCAGCAGTCTTCTCCCTCCTGCAGCAGTCCTCTCCCTCCTGCAGCAGTCTTCTGCCTCCTGCAGCAGTCTTCTGCCTCCTGCAGCAGTCTTCTCCCTCCTGCAGCTGTCTTCTGCCTCCTGCAGCAGTCTTCTCCCTCCTGCAGCTGTCTTCTGCCTCCTGCAGCTGTCTTCTGCCTCCTGCAGCAGTCCTCTCCCTCCTGCAGCAGTCCTCTCCCTCCTGCAGCAGTCTTCTGCCTCCTGCAGCAGTCTTCTCCCTCCTGCAGCAGTCTTCACCCTGCTGCAGCAGTCTTCTCCCTCCTGCAGCAGTCCTCTCCCTCCTGCAGCAGTCTTCTGCCTCCTGCAGCTGTCTTCTGCCTCCTGCAGCAGTCCTCGCCCTCCTGCAGCAGTCCTCTCCCTCCTGCAGCAGTCTTCTGCCTCCTGCAGCTGTCTTCTGCCTCCTGCAGCAGTCCTCTCCCTCCTGCAGCAGTCCTTTCCCTCCTGCAGCAGTCTTCTGCCTCCTGCAGTAGTCTTCTCCCTCCTGCAGCTGTCTTCTGCCTCCTGCAGCTGTCTTCTGCCTCCTGCAGCAGTCCTCTCCCTCCTGCAGCAGTCCTCTCCCCTCCTGCAGCAGTCCTCTCCCTCCTGCAGCAGTCCTCTCCCCTCCTGCAGCAGTCCTCTCCCTCCTGTAGCAGTCCTCTCCCTCCTGCAGCAGTTTTCTCCCTCCTGCAACAGTTTTCTCCCTCCTGCAGCAGTCCTCTCCCTCCTGCAGCAGTCCTCTCCCTCCTGCAGCAGTCCTCTCCCTCCTGCAGCAGTCTTCTCCCTCCTGCAGCAGTCCTCTCCCTCCTGCAGCAGTCCTCACCCTCCTGCAGCAGTCCTCTCCCTCCTGCAGCAGTCCTCTCCCTCCTGCAGCAGTCCTCTCCCTCCTGCAGCAGTCCTCTCCCTCCTGCAGCAGTCCTCTCCCTCCTGCAGCAGTCCTCTCCCTCCTGCAGCAGTCCTCTCCCTCCTGCAGCAGTCCTCTCCCTCCTGCAGCAGTCCTCTCCCTCCTGCAGCAGTCCTCTCCCTCCTGCAGCAGTGTTCACCCTCCTGTAGAGGTGTTCGCTCTCCTGAGCTTCAATAGTACTTCCCTGGTGTTATAATAAACTTGCATAATCTTGGGTGGGATAAGATTTTGTTTACAAAATTTTTTGTTTATTGTGGATTAATGATTTTGAAAAGGTGAGCAGCGAGTGAGTTTCCAAGGCGGGCGAGCCTAAGTGTTATCCATTAAACTAACGGCACTTTGGCGATGTAAATATAATTTGTAAGAAGCTTAACCCCTTTTTTTACGAGGTGGTGGGGTAATTTATAATGGTTTTGGAGGAACTTGGAGAGAGGAAATATTTAAAATTGCAAGTGTAGTAGCCTATTAGTAACGGGATATTTGCTGCCTAATGTCTTGTGCGTGTGGAGTCGTAGGCTAGGATACCATTGGTGTAGTCAGCGGTCTTTAATTTATTAATTAAATTAATTAAAATTAAGTGTAACGCGCACCTGGAGCTGTAGACTGTACACTTTTAGTTTAGGTCCAGCAACTCAGTCCAGCAACCAGGAGGCCTGGTCGACGATCGGGCCGCGGGGACGCTAAGCCCCGGAAGCACCTCAAGGTAACCTCAAGGTAGGTATTAACAATCACGTGAAGGTGTACATATATAGTACACATATAGGTATAGACAGGCACACGCTAAGGTGCAAATAGTGCACGTCAATGTGTAGCCTGTCGATAGTCCGCAGGATATACCAGACACCAGAAGACAGAAGAGTAAGGGGAGACATGATCACTACCTACAAAATTCTCAGAGGAATTGACAGGGTAGATAAAGATAAACTGTTTAACACGGGTGGTACGCGAACAAGGTGACAGGTGGAAACTGAGTACCCAAATGAGCCACAGGGACGTTAGAAAGAACTTTTTCAGTGTCAGAGTAGTTAACACATGGAATCTATTAGGCAGTGATGTGGTGGAGGCTGACTCCATACACAGTTTGAAATGTAGGGCCCAGTAGGCTCAGGAACCTGTACACCAGTTGATTGACAGTTGAGAGGCGGGACCAAAGAACCAGAGCTCAACCCTCACAAGGTGTACTAGGTGAGTACACCTCTCGGCAGCTGTCAGGTGCGCACCGTCTCTAGCTGTTAGGCTAATCCTCTGAGGTCACATTGATGGGAATTATCGGGTGGTGATGATAACAGTGAGAGAGCTAAGTCGGCTTACCCCTCTACCTCAATACCGTCTTCACCTACTGACTAAAGCATGCACCCATCTCTGTCAGCCATTTTAATGTTTTAATTTCATTCCTTTATTATGTCCCCTATACCCATCCCGTGGGCGATGGTGGAAAGGGTTACAGAGGCACATAATCGGTTTATTAACTGAACCCCATTGTTCGTCTAGCTAAGCAAGTGACAACCTTGTAAAGCTAGTTACACAATTGTTATTATTACATACACATGTACATATATATACATCCATGTACACAAATACATATACATATCAATAATCTTTACAAAATGCTTAGGCTAACCCACCCTAACCCCCTGCACTGAAGCCCTCCAAACCGTCTTTCTTGAAGGTCAGCATAACCCAAGTGTCTACCAAAACCGCCACTGTGCTCAGAATGTATAATTTTCATCACCTCTACCAACAGAGACAACAGCCACACTTTCCTGCCCCTGTGGCGTGTAAAAATAGGTAAATGGTAAGACTGATGAGAGTGTACTGAGTTTAAACATATTAAACGCTTCAAAAAAATGTATTTGAGTAAATTTGAGGGTACAGGAAGATCAAAATGGGCAGGTTTGGTGAAGGAGTGTGCGAGAAAGTTTGGGAAGTGCTGCAGATGACGACAGACAGCCATCATGGTGAGAGGCAGCCATCATGGTGAGAGGCAGCCATCATGGTGAGAGGCAGCCATAATGGTGAGAGGCAGCCATCATGGTGAGAGGCAGCCATCATGGTGAGAGGCAGCCATCATGGTGAGAGGCAGCCATCAATGGTGAAAGGCAGCCATCATGGTGAGAGGCAGCCATCAATGGTGAGAGGCAGCCATCATGGTGAGAGGCAGCCATAATGGTGAGAGGCAGCCATCATGGTGAGAGGCAGCCATCATGGTGAGAGGCAGCCATCATGGTGAGAGGCAGCCATCAATGGTGAGAGGCAGCCATCATGGTGAGAGGCAGCCATTATGGTGAGAGGCAGCCATCATGGTGAGAGACAGCCATCATGGTGAGAGGCAGCCATCATGGTAACAACCAATGACAACACTCATGGAGTATTACAAGTATAATACCGTCTCAAAGCTCTCAAAATGTACTCTGGAAAGGAGACGAGAAAGGTATAAAATAATATATACATGGAAGATACTGGAGGGCTAGGTCCCAAATTTGCACAGTAAAATAACTACATACTGGAGCGGAAGATACATAACAGAACACGAAACAAATAAGAAGCCAATACGGCTTCTTATTTTCCTTGTTTCAGTTTCCTTGATTTTCCTTGATTTCCTTCTACAGTTTCCTTGATTTATATGTTCGTATACGGAAGGAAATGCAAAATAAAACCAGTGAGTAGAGGCGCCATAGGCACAATCAGAGAACATTGTCTGAACATCAGAAGTCCACGCTTGTTCAGTCCTCTCACAGCAAGCATTAGAAATATTGCCGGAACGAAGGTGGATGTCTTCAAGAAGCATTTGGATAGGTTCATGTGAAAAGCACCAAACCAACCAGGTGGAAATGAATACGGGGGCCTGCGGGCCGGTCCAAGCAACTGCCTGTTGGACCAAGTTATCTCAAGTCGATAACTTCCGGAAATCTCTCCAAGTATGCTCCAGGTTTGAGTCACAGTCTTGGTTTATACTGCATTCATCCTGTGAACAATAACTATAATAATGAATCCTGGCCAATTATGATTGTGAATCAACCATTATGGTGAGTCAAGAGCATCAGAGTGAGTCACAACCGTTGAACAACAGCGATGGTGCAGGATCAATTACTAATCCACATTTACATTTTATCTATTGGCTTTGTTAGGTCTTTTGTTTTCATTTTTATTAAATATAAAACCAATTAGAACTCATTGTATCCATTTGTATTGTAGTGTAAACCTATACAATAAATGTGATTCATTTTTTAATTAATTTCAGTTTTTTTTTAATCCGAACCTTTGAAACTAATGCCAGAATTTTACCTTTTGGCGAGCTGTGATTATTTTTACTTTAGAATGATAGACTTTGTTTACAAATGCTTTCATAATGTTACTGTGATATATTTTGATGTTTGTATTTTGATTGTGAGAATATACTCACACCTTTCTATGTACTGTACTTCACATAGATGTTGTTGGCGTATAGTTATTCACTAGTATACAGCAGTTATTACAGTTATTAGAGCATTATGTATGTATGTATGGATAATACATTACCCATACATTACTAGTGTGGGTAATACATTACCCATAGCCTAAATGTACTGCGAATCAATGGCTTAATGTATTGCGGAACGTTTCTTATGGCCTAATATATTGTAATAATTTATCTATACCGTAATATATTGTGATATATATAACCTATAGTGTAATTAATGTATTGTGATACGTTGCCTATATCCTCATGAACTGTGAAACGTTAAATTGTAGCCTAATGTACAGTGATACATTTCCTGCGGCATAATATAGAGTAGGTTTAGTGTGTTAATTTTGTGGTTAGTCAACAAGAGGGCCGGCGTTGAGTACATCGTTATTTAAGTAACATGTTTTAGGCTTTCTTCCTTGTGATGACACTTGTTCAAGTTTCATTTTGGCATCATAGTTACTTTCAGTGTTTTAAGTTGTTTTACTTTCTTCCTCGTAGTCACTTTCTTCCTCCCTGTCTACCTGCTACTCACATTTTCCTTCACTGCATTGTCCTCCCAGTCACTTTCTTCCTCGTAATCACTTTTTTTTCTTCCCAGTCATTCTCTCCCTTCTGTGCACTTTCTACCTCCCGGTCACTTTCTTCCTCTCATGCCCACTTTCTACCTCCCGGTCACTTTCTTCCTCTCATGCCCACTTCCTCCCAGTCACTTTCTTAACGATATTTTTATTTCGCTTATAACGAAGCATATCCGGTTTTTGCCGTAGTTACCATTTGATCATTATTTATTTAGTAAGAGGCCTCCTAACCAGTGATTGGATTTAAGCGAAATTGGTCCTTTTGTGCGCGGAGAAAAGTTAAGATCTAATTCCGGCATCTTCAGAGTGCAGTGACTCTTGGAGTATTTATGCGAAAGGCCTGAACAAAAGACGTAGTCTATCATTTCCTCCTTTTTTCTTTTTTTTTTGCCAACTTCGATTTTTGTTTTGTGTTTTTGCCAACTTCAATTTTGGGGTTCCATGAAAGAATGGCATGTCTTATCAGGGAATGTTTTTGTCTAAACTATTGAGTTTATAAGATATAGAATATTTACTGGGCTTTCTATATATTTCGACCGTATTTTAATATTTAGTAACGTTTCATTTTTGGTTCACATTATTATCTTTGCAAAATTTCTTCATGATTTGTATTTAAGCTGTATTTTACGTTTAATGTACTCGGTGTATAACTATAAATATATTCTAGCAATAAACTTATTGTTGCAATAGCCAAGCTCAGAAATGTCGCCAATTCAAGAAAATCGTCTGCCTGATTTATAGCCTATGCAATATATCCATAGATTTTAGTTTTGTTTTATTAGTTTTATAAAATTGTAATATCAATATAGCTATAGGTTAAGTACAAATTGTAATTAAGAAGCAATAAATGCTACTTACATGCTTATCGTACACTCTTAAGGTTATCTTCTTGAGGTTATCTTGAGATGATTTCGGGGCTTTTAGTGTCCCCACGGCCCGGTCCTCGACCAGGCTTCCACCCCCAGGAAGTCAACTGCCTGTTGACTTCTTCTGCCGTGGCTGCCGTGACAGCTGTCACGGGCTTCCAGCCCGTGACAGCTGACTAACACCCATGTACCTATTTTACTGCTAAGTAACAGGGCCATAGGGTGAAAGAAACTCTGCCCATTGTTTCTCGCAGGCGCCCGGGATCGAACCCGGGACCACAGGAT